ACTGTCTCGAGTTCACCAATCTTATGATTGATTAGGCAGTGCACCTAGGTTACTGTCAGTTTTGTTCTTGAATCTACACTTTCTTATTGTTGGCATAGGCTGCTGTCAGGGGAGTAAAGCGACACGTGGAATTGTCTCTGCACGATACATCGACTCCGAAGTAATTTCAACAGCGCCGTTCTCTCACATCGCTAAGCCCAACATTAACATGTCCGCAGGCACCTTAGGTGTAATTTGGCTTCGGATTTCGTGTATTAGACCTTTTGTAACGCCTATCCATGCGAATAAGACAGACTAACATCTTACCTTTCGCTGCCAGTGAATCGACCGCCTAAGTGCCAAAAATTAAGGCCATTTTGCAGCCAAGACCGTGCCACACCACTTTGTTTCAAACCCGAATGATCCTCTTACCCTGTTCATTTGTGACCATTCACCCCAACGTGGTAAGAAAGCGCATGACACCCATAAACCCGAGCATAACTAAAACCGACACGCCACATGTGATGTCGAGTGTCGATGGTGAACGTGCTGCGGACACACATCCGGTGATAGCCGTGCCAACTACAAGCCCAGTCTTTTGATATGCCGCGCAAAAGTGAGCAATGATCAAGGCAAAATTGGTAGCTGTCTGAGGTACAAAAGATCTAAAGCAGTAATAAATGCTGGGAGGAATATCGCAACACTTCCTACAACTCATTCATCACATTTCATACTACACCGGAATTTCAAACTTTTTGAGTCAATCATCGTCAGCCCAACCTGAGTAACATACAGCAGCAGACCATGCGTATGCGCTTTTACAACTCGGAACTCGCGCCATGACGTAGCATAGTACCTATAAAATTTGCACCCAACCAAGCGCCCTTTGAATACGGCCTACATCAACGTCGTGTCTTCCAAAACACACGGCACAAACGCACATACACATGCACGCTCATTCACACATGGACTAACAGACAAGCACAGATAACGGAGACAAGGGCACACAAGGAGACACGCAATAGGGGACGGGGAGGGGGTAGACATCGAACCATAGGAGTTAAATATTTAAGAGCTGATAAAATAACGCAACCAGTGCGCTCGATCACTGGTCTTAGAAGAATGAAAGGACAAGGAAAGAGTACACCAATTAAACATTACACATGATTCGAGCGGTGTTGGTGGTCAAGCGAGAAGATGCAGAAATAGGTCGAGGCTACAGCTAGTATAGTACAGACCACGGGCAAAGGGTAAAGCGTGCGCGTGTGGTCTGCCTTAAGTCCCGCGGCTCCCGCCTTGACCAGCGGCCATCCCCTCGTTCTTGGCCGCGTTCACGATTGCAGCAACAACCGAGGGATTACTGAGGATGTTCAGCGTGGCCAAGGCAGTGCTATCGTCACCTTGGTAGCCACCGCCACCCTGGCCGTTTGGTCGTTGTCTAATGTAACCACCACCCTGGTTCTGCAGAAGAAAAAAGGCTGCAACAGATTGGATCTCACAAAGTCACTGGAGGGGGTAACACGAACTTCTTGAACAAGAACTTGGGAGATAATTTCCCCCACATAAACAAACAAGAAGTACCCGCTTGCGCTGGAACTAAAAAGGATCGATTAGATGGACGGTATTGCGACTATCTGCAACAAACGTCCCAATATTGCTAATTTACTTTCAAGAGGAAAAAAGACAATGAAGCTTCCACAAGTCAAGAAGATATGAATGATAAAAAGGTGATTTTTCATAGAACGTTAGATTGCGCAAAGACAGTGAAGGGACCCAGGAGAAAGCCACATAGCTAGTGCACGGCCTCGGCTGAAGTAGGGAAGTACTGAGAAAGAAGAAAGAAAACTAACCTGATGGGCGCGTGTGTACTGCGAGGCAAGGGCAGCAGCGGTGGAGACGGCAGAGGGGCTCATGCCTGGCACCATGGAGGGACCGTTGTAGCGGCTTCGAGGGCTCTGTGGTCCGCTACCCTCGTCCCCATAAGCACCATAGGCTCCAAACGGGTGCTGCCAGCCTGCGAAATGACATATCGGACTCAATTTTTGCTACTACCACGGAAAATTATAGGTCAAAAAACACCACAACCAACTGGTGGAAAATAAATTACAGATCACATACTAAACCTCATTGGTTGAACCAAAACCAATTATTATTGGCGCCTATAGATACAGAGCTTGACGGTTATTAATCTGAGCACAGGTGCAACAGTAAGAGAACGAGTGAATGTTTCAGCCTTATCGTTGACACAAATACATAACCGGAGAAATGCTCTCACGGAGAAAGGATAGCGAAAACAAATCCTGCCGACCCCAGAATAAAAGGCGACAGCACGTTCAACGTAAACAAGGATGGCTCATAAAGATAACCATAGCCCAAATTGCCATCTTTTCCACAACGCAGGTGTAAACAACAGACAAACGCGAGGAGATAATGCTCTCCAGCAAAAGCGTAGTTGGCCGTATGTTAAGGAACAAGCGGCAGTGATGGAACGTCGAACACAGCAATCCACCAATACGATTATCCGTACAAATAAGAATGTGGTGCAGTTACAAGTTAACGGTACGTTGCTGCACCCCGGTTTCGAGTTCCATACAAACCGAACTTCATGACATTGGCTTAGAATTCCGCTCATACCACATACACCACTAGACTCCTGGACCTTACGTACGGATAGACATAGTACCAATAAAAAGATAACTAAGCACTAGACATAATTTGATTTAGTGAAGCAGCACTGTTCCTGCAAATAAAGTGGGTGGAGACTCACTACCCCAGGGAAGGCCTTGAGGCCCGCCATGAGCGGCAGCAGCAGCGGCGGCGTGGTACATGTTGTGCATCATGCCGCCGTGGCCACCGCCACCACTACCCCCACCGCCGTGACCGTGGTGCATGAAGGCAGGCATCTTGGGTACTGCGGAGCCCACTGTTAGCGTCTGGCCATTGATAACCTGATCCTCACCCAGCAGGGAGGCCGCCACACCTGGGTCCTCGAAGGTGATGAAGGCGAACGAGCGAAAGGGACGTGGAACGAAAACGTCGGTGATCTACAAGAAATAATATTCAGCCAATTCTGAGTTGGGGGAGAGAAAGATAACTCAAACATTGGTAAGGTAGGACAATGAGTCCCACAGATACATACATAAAATCACTTCCAATGAAATTCCACCTCGGATGGAAGGCAGGCTAAATGGTTGTTTAACATTTTGATGGGATGAGAAACTTGGATAAATAAACTTACGAACTTTTTTGATGATCAAACCTAAGAAGTATCCCGATAAACCGCAAAGTAACAGGAAAATAATTAGTGCAGCCATGAAGGTAACTATTATTTGACAAGCCCAAAAGTACAAAAAAGCAGAACCGAAAATTGCACTACGAAAAGGAACAGTGGAAGGGAACATTTACCTAAGTGCAGGGGGGAAAACTTAATTACCCACACTTTCCTACCCAATGCAGCCCGCAAAAGCTAATGGACGTAATGTAATTCGCCTATCATGATAAAATTCCCAGAAACGGCGGTTAGTAATTGGGCAGGAGGGACAGTTGAATGGCTTGTAGTAAGTATTAACGGAAGGAAGCTCGCAACGCAATAACACTTACCTGATAACACCAAATAAAATTACAGAAGAAAAAATAGCCGAGGCAGTTCGCCTGAAACTATTCACTAGAGCTAGGCAAGCACCGAACATTCCTAACGCAGTCGGATGAAAAATCTGGAAGTCGTTCAAAAAAAGGCAAATTAATTACACAGAAACGGATTACAGAAATGCAGAGTCTAGAGGGATTTAGCGCATGCAGCTCTAAAATAAAACCAAAAAAGTGCCAAAATTAGAGCGTCATTGATCCAAATTCTACGTATAAATCAAGATGTGAAAACAGGAGTGGCTAGGGAAAGCATGCAACTAGCAAAGTCGCCACATTACGTTGAGTAAAGTACTAACACAATTACCATAAACGAAGGAGCAACATGAACAAGGAACCATCCCTAGAACGCACCCAAATACGATGAAAGACAGAGAAAAGGGAGCCTAAAAGACGCACAGTGAATTGTTTTCGTGAGACAAGAATGACACACAATTGTGCAGCATGCCAGAGAGCGTGCACACCCTCGATCGAAAGCAGGGATCAATGAGAATGGGATTTTGCGGAATTCCAGAAACACACCATACATGAATCCACTCAAATCTCGCAATTTTCACATTATCAGTCGATTATGGGACAGGAGGAAGGGCAACGCAAAATAGGCTCTGAGTCATTGACAACATGCCTATGTAGATGAGTTTCGGCTGAACTAGTATTCAAAATGAAAACAGAATGAATTGTGCACGCTGAATTTTGACAAGGCAGTAAAAACCGTGGCAAAAGAGCATACATGGTAGAACTGATAAAGGCAACTTATGGAGTAAGGCAAACAAAACTGTGCATCAAAAGAAATACACAGATTAAACAATAGAAACTTCATAGTTGAGAAAAGGATGAGATAAGGAGGAACTGTGATATCAGCCAGAAAGTGAAGACAGAACAACACGAGCAATGGCGAAAAAACAATGATAATGTTGGAATAAAAATTTAAACCCCACAGGGTACTGCCGAATCATGTAAGCGTTTGCCACCCACAGACCAGACTGGTAAAGCATTCCACTGGACGATGTCAAAAATGCACGTGTTTGGCAATAAATACTAAAAATGAGAGCCCGAACAGAGAGGATGTCCTTGTTACTGCCGAAGGTAGTCGCCAACAGTTAGCCTTTGGGCTGTGCACAAATTGACTTTCACAAATACATACGAGAAAAAACCACTTTGGAAACTGCACTCAAGACAGCGCCGAGAAAAATGGGCCAATGCGACTAGTTTACCTTGAAATATACTAAGGATGTGCGTGCTTTCAATAGATTCAAGTGAGCGAATAAGCAAATAACACGCATTTGCCCGTGAGGAGCATTAAAGCGAGGATAAGAAACAGGTTCTAACAAGAGTGATGGTGCGAAGTCACACGTAGCCGGTGAAGGGAATGGAGAAATCAAAGGGGGTTCCTCTGTGCAAACACAATAAAAAGTAGAAATATCAAGCGCATCGAATAAATCCGGTTGACTGAAACAAGTGTTACCGAAGTGAGGGAGCGGTACGGAACACAAGTCAAAACAGTGCCAACCAGGCGATTCAAGAGGTTCCAACACACATTCCACTCAAAAGTCACCGGGAATAAAACAAAAATTTGATAGGTTAAGCATCGAAAAAGGATGAAAAAGGTGATTCAGGAAGAGACGACAATACAACAAATAAGTAGACATAAACATATCAGGCCTCGTTCGTCACTAACGCTCGCAGTTTTGCGGGTTGGGCATCCACGATAAAATGTACTCATACGCATGGGTTAAAGTGCCGTTTGGTTCTTCCCATAATCGACAGCGAAAAGTTGTCTCAACGATTGAAAACCCAATCAAATTTTTACTGTTTTGGTACAAACGACGAAAACTTGCATACACCAGAGAGACCATTCAGCACATGCCACGACACCAAAAATAGGGAATCAGCCTTCCATAAACATATGGGACACCGTTTGCTGCATACGAACAGATGGTGGATTTTGATGCAAGCGCAGCGCTTGAAATAAGCGTCGACATTAAAGGAGAGATTAAAAATTAGTTCTAAAAAAACAATTAGGACTAAATGGATTAAAATGGCTGACCGAAGGGACATTGGCAAACACTTGAAGTAAAATGACTGCACAAGAGCGAAAAAAATTACTCATTTGAAAATGAGCAAAGCGCTAATACTAGTGATGATGTTTCCCAGAACAGGGAAATCTCTAGGCCGCTTCATGAAGTTAGTCTAGGAATCAACCGTCTGATTATAGGCAGTAGAGAATTGGCAAAGTATCCCAATAGTGACAACGCCATTTCAAAACATAAAGGGGCCGAGGAAGACTTACATGACCAAACTGCGAGAAGTGGTCACGTAGCATGTCCGCAGTGATGTCCTCAGTGAGTTGTCCAATGTGGAGCTTGCGATTGACCTCTTGACGATCGCCCTCGGTCTACAATTTGAGAAGCAGGCACTCTCGCACTCATCAGCACTCAACATCACCACGCGCCGTCATATCAACGAACGAAACCATGCACAAAGGAAGGGGATGAAAGGATAGAAGTAGGAAAGAAGGGAGAAAGAGGGGTAGGAAGAGGGACATGCCATCATTTCTCTTAAAGAAACAGAATCATCATCAACAACAGTGTCACAGCGCAGCAATGGCAGCATACCAAGAAACGCACACCCAGCAAGCCGAAAGAAAAGCAAATGTTAGTCTCTTCGACTTTACTTGCGGATGCATATTATAAGGTTGCACAAGTATTTTGTCGCTCGTAATTTAATAAGTACGGTCTAGAATAGTGAATGAACATTTTTTGCGAGTGCAAATGCGGCTACTCTGTAAATTTGTGCATAAAATTGAAAATAAGCCATAGCAATAACCGGCTGAGAGACGGATAGACAATAAGTAGGCTTTTTGAGAATACTTTACTGGCAACAGCAAAATATTAGCACGGGCTTTTCAATTGAATAATTCATACCTGTACTTGGCCTGCCAGCTCAAAACAAGTATGTACTGATGAACAAGCACTCAAAAAGCAGCTAAACATTGACCTCTCCTCGGCTTGGGAGCTGTTCAGTGAAAACCTTGATAACGTAAACTTGTACTTCTGCCCTAAGTTGGTGGTACCACATACGCAACAAACTAAAAGCCCAGTTGATTGTTTATCCGTCAATCTATACACTAAACATGGACACACCCGAAAGCTATCGACGGAAGGACAAACTATTGATAACAGTGAGTAATGATGCCTGATCAGCCTAGCCATAAATACTTCACCTATACTGGCGGATTAAAATTCCATTAAACTGATTCATCGAAACTCAAATAAATGCGGTGGGAGATCATGTCAATGTGAAACTAGCTTTGGTGAAGAAAAAAGCATCCAAATCATGTAATAGTTTGAACTGGACATATATAAATGGCCACTGGCGTTATTATAACAAGCTAGCAAAACGAATTTTTCACAAACTGTAAATGAAGTAAACCCGTTGTATCATACTGTGGTCGCCGAAGAGTGTTAAAAATTTTTTTCCAATAATCATAAACCTTCCAAACCAAAATAAGCCGGTGAACTCAATGATTAGTCGATTCCAACTAGCTAACGTGACATTTCTTAAAGCCACGTGTACACATAGTCGCTGCCAAACACAAAGGTGAAAAGAAGGCGACACATGGACCAGAATAACAAATAAACTAGGAAGCAACTTTAATAGTGACATTCCCTGAAAGAGAATCACCCACCTTTGAAATGGGGATGCGAACATCGCACCATCTGGAATCGATGAAGTGACGCTCTGCCAGGCACATAACCTGGGCGTCATAATCTCGAAAACGAATGAAACCGTAACCACGACTCTGATTGGTATTCGGGTCACGTTTAACCTGAAAGACAAAGCAGAACTTCGAACTGCGCGCAATCCACCTGGTTAACGTCCCTTGACTAAAGACAGTCCCAACTAGCCAACTTTGATGTCAGGCGAATGCTCGATCTGAAATGATGCATATCTTACCTTCATGGCCGCGAACTCAGTGTGCACATGACACTTGCACAAGCAGCATTCAGAACATGAACTTATAAGGTGAATGCGGGGATGAAAATAAGGACGCTTTCGAGATGCTGACTAACAAACATGTAAAACATGATGCAATTTACGGCATGAATCGAAAACCTAGCTGAGTGAATACAAATGCTCGACAACTTTTGGACACAAATAGGTTGGGCTTAATTTAGCTCCGTCAATTATCTATGCCAAGAATTTACGAGTGAGCCGCCATTTTGCTTCCCGAAACTGCTGCGAACTGCAGCATATGTGCGCTTAAAACAGCGCATTTTACTTCATACTTGCATAATTTACATGAACATGACGATAGTCCTAACAAAAAGATCAAGCTCAGCAATAAAGTGACCTTTCTATACAGTGGGAGAGAGCCCAACCAGAAAGAATAAAAGTAATTTGTACACCTTGCAAAAACCCACCGTTCGATCAAAAATTAAATTTATGATAATGCCTACCCAAAGAGGGAAAAATAGTTATCGACGCATAAACAATAACCATTCCAGATACGGATGATTAACTTTCCAAAAAGTGACAACTACGGGATCCACAAAACTTTAAAGAACATTTAACTGTCCAAGAGAAACGTAGTAATGCTGTTACCTTCTACGGCTCATGATAAGGATTCTCAAACATTGTAAAATTGAAAATTTCATGATTCTCACATGAACGGGAGCATTTACTTACTCGACACGATAGAAAGTGGAGAAGCAGTATTTTACAAAGAATCTGTGAACGAGAGTTGATATCCGCTTTAAAATGCTGAGAACTTACTTGGGCCATTACGACGTCTCCAAAACGAGAAAAATAATTTTTGAGGGCTGTTTCCTCCACCCGCCAGGGCAGATTCAGAACAATGAGGTCCGTACATCTTTTTCCGTCAAGTCTTTTAGTTTTGGCAAAATTCCCAGCTTCTTCATCGTCAACCTTCCTCTTGGCTAAAATTACCAGGTTTCAAAATCAATGAGCGTATTTCGAGAAAAAAACGAGTACTCATTTTCCAAATTATAATCATTTTAACAAGAAAACATATTCTTATGGAAATAAATGCACCTTATAAAACCAGATAATTCAGGAAGTATAAATAATGATTTCAAGAAGTTGCATACTCACAACAAAACAATAGTCAGAACCCACCATAGGAAACAACAATTTTATATACTCTATTTTGCCATCCGTCTGGAGGTGGATATATGCGGCCATCGGAGTACCTCACACCTCGCATACAACCGGATTCGGAGGCATACTTAAGGCCGGTGGCTCGTGGGAATTGGGCTGCAAGAGTACTAAGCAGTAGTGTTTTGTCATCCTCCAGTGGTATCTCAACTGGTGCGCCATCGTCTTCGCAAACTTGAACGTAGGACACCTCAGGAGAAATCATTATCTTATCGCATGAACAACACCGTCCTATTTGGCGCGCAACAGGCCTGAACCCGACAAGGCTCCAAACCAACACAGCTTTATAACAAAGAGACATGCAAAACAAATCAAATTATCTGGCATGTGCAGTTACGGTTAAGACACATAAAACGTCCACGTTTTTTTTAAAAAATGCGTTTATCAGTTGTTGTTAGCAATTTATCCGACTTAAAGCGGGTGTGTGGATACATTAGAAATAAAGCACGCAGGATATGAAAGGTATCTTGATTTCCGTAGTTGCCAACATGAACACCTCTTACCTGTATACATCGCTAACAGTTCTTTGGTATTGCGTGTAACCTCTCGCACATTCATTAATTAGTTAGTGAGTTCTGCATTAGCAACCACACTTATCCCTTGGGTCGTAATACGATACTTGAAATCCAAATAATGGTTGACTAATAACGCATAAAATAGCGAAAAGTTATGGATGTGAGCTGAAAGCCGTGCCAACAAGATAATGCTATCTCGGTTATTTGCTACTCGGCTGAATTGCGAAGGTCTTTGGGTCTGCGCTGGTTATGCAGCGGTGTGGCCTTCAGTACGCTAGTGGTATACGTCCTGCACATCATTTCGGCTTGTTACGACTTCAGAAACCCTCAGGAAGCTACAATTTGGCCTGTGAACAATGAAGGACTCATGTGGCTTGGTGCAGCTATGAACAAATTAAGCTTCATGCGGTATTACACTTGGTGCTGCAACAGATAGTAGCACAAATGATTTTGGTTCATGAACTGATGCGGAAACTATACTGAATGCCTTATTTGTGCAGTTTGGTCATGGCATAAAATTTAAATCACCAGTCCGGATAAGTTTTCTTAAAGTCTGCTAGTTTATCTTAACGAGGAGTCGGATTTACAAAATTACATTCACAACTAATGTATGAAATAATCTAACTCGTATGTTGATAATTCATTTAGCGCATTCATCGTATACCCTTTTCATGAACGCTGAATCGAAGTCTGTTATACTTATATGAAATATGAAAAGCACATTTTTTCCTTTTAATTCTAGATAAATTGCAAGAAATTATATGCGTTCATGTAGAGTTACTAATTAAGGAAACGGAAGATAAGTAATAAACATATGACCAGTTGGAGCAGTTTGGGCTTATCCGGCACTTCCGACAACTATCTGCGTGTGAGTTGAAGTAATATATGTGCAAAATATTTTGGCAAAAAGGGATTATATGCCACTTGATCAAACGAATCAATGAATTTACGCGGAGAAGTTAATACAGTTTTGGTAGTGGATCAGCCCCTTCGCATAGTGAGGGCGACTTCCTACCTCATCCCGCCATCAGTCTCGATTACACAGTGAAGTGCAAGTTGCGATTTGGGCAAAGCGAGCTCTTCTAAGGATAATTTCTAGACTTTGATTTCATGTTTTAGAGATTATTAAAACTAATGACAGTAAGTCGATTGTGATCGAGATCAGAAAACTGCACAGATAGCAGTGGTGGGTGGCATGCGTGTTGGCGCGCATGTCGTTAATCAAGAAGGCTGGCAACAGCGGTAGTGCCTGGTTGAACCAGCGTGTAGTGATGAAGCATCTTGTGAACAACGATATAAAATTGGCGGACATCCAATAGAAGCTTTGCAAAGACAGCAGTATACCCGTAGATGAGGATCTGGCTTTGGCGATTCTGAGCCTACAGCTGACAACAGTCATTTCTGTGTGCGTTATGTGCGTTAAATGTCTGATTAAGAGCGCCTATTCGACACGACCCACTATTAAACTTGACAGGTGAGAAATCTAGCTACGAGAGATGTGAACACAATCTCTTACGAGCATTTGTAAATTTGAAAAGCTGGCGCACGCTGGGCGTCCAAATACGGTTTAGTAGCACTAAAATATCCTTCCATGCCGAAGCTGCTTTGTAAGTACTAGTTGTTTGTTAAGATAAGCGCATAAATGCGTCTAATGGCCGTAGCACAAATTAATGTAGTTTTCTCTTGTTCAAACGCGTCTATTTCTTCCCCAAACTTAAAAGTCCTGTTTTTGATCTAAGCTGCCCTCATACAAATAATTACAATGTTTATGCTCAGAATTTTTCAAGTCTACGTGCCCAGACAATCAAGTTTTCAGGATGTTTTCTGTCACTCTATAGTGAAAATAGGTTGTTTACGGCAGTATCCGGGCCGATTTAGTTGAGTTGTCGATGTTTAAGGACTCCTAAGTGCAATTTGAGTTTTTCACCCTCACCACTGTAATGTAGCGCCACCAACTCGAGTCTTGTCACCATGACAATGAGTATACAGATCCACGCTGACGACTTTGTAATGTTCCTTGGGGAGAAACAAGTGCCAACTCCCTGCGCCGGACAATCAGTGATGTCACATCGACCCGCATATACTGTGGATAGGCGGCACCCTTTGGCTTCATTCAACCCCAGTCACTAGAGTGCTTAAAACACTGCCACACAGTTATGAGCACAAGCTGTTAGACGTATATTTGATACGTTACAAATAAATAAAAGCACAAGTAACTTGCGATTGAAAATTCCATGAATGAAGCTAACATTGAACACTTAGGTGTGTTTGTTTCACATTGAAGTAAAGAGCAATGGGAAGAGCGCTTTGCTTAGGGGTACCGAAATTTGCGCGACAACAGGGCGAGTAATTGCGAAGGACAGACTTGTTGGGGGCTCGATCTCTAAAACGCATATGAGCAAGACCACTGGCAGACCGACTGCTAAAGGTTAGTTGTCTGCAAGGAAGATCATGACCCACATTAGATAAGCTTTCCCAGCCAATCACAATTGGTGACAAAGTTCCTATTTTTCTGCCAAAGTGGAAAGAGATTGTAATTTTTTATTAATTTTGCAGAACCTGCTTACTGTTACACATAGCATTTCTACCTACAAGCCCACGAGCAGGTACCTAGAATGAACGAATCCGGAGGCACTTCAGACGAATCCATCGTAAGACTTAAGACTAATAAGATTAGTTCTCCCCCAAAGGAAGAAGTGCCTATGCAGTGACCGATTCACAAAAAAATCTTGCTTTTACACGCTAGTGCTAGTCCATAAAAGCCGAATTATCGATATGGTTGGTTTATAGTCAACTTGCAGCACTCACTGCGGTAAGGAGCTCTGTGCTGTGTCCGATTGCTTGAGCCTACTATTCACTACGATTTCCAGTGCCTCGTGAGCAGTCTGCCCTCACCACACTCAGCATATTGGAGGATAATCCACTTCCTCTGGTGTATCGCGTCTGCAGTTGAAAAGATAACACTACCGAAAGTTGAAAGTATGCAAATATTTACATTCCATTTCCATTCCGAATCGATGGATTGAATTATTTCCTCGCATCTACCCACCTACCCACCAATCTACCACGTCACATCATCAACCCATCAATTTTGTTGTACTTAAAAAGATGCCACTGATATGTTTGCCCCATTTAAGGCAGCACTACCAAATCCGAATGTTGACACACCTTTAACTTGTCGACATTTACTGCAGGGGCCCCTAATTACCCACCGGCAAAGAGTAACTGGATCGTGATGGTAATACTAGCGATACTTGATTTCGTATGGACCGCAGAAGCGCAACCGACAGCTCAAATTACGCACGAGGAGTGTCATTTCAAACAGTGGCAGCAGAAGTTTGAAGTCCTCTGCGTGGTTGCTAAGGCCTAAAAGCAAAACAGCATTTCCGCTGAGGTTCTTGATCTCCCATTTTTAACCATGCTTACGGTACGAGGAATCTTGAATGTTTTGCTCTTTTGAAATTCTGAATAAAGACGGTAGGTAAACATTCTCTTTAGGAAATATGAAACATAATTTTAGGGGTAGGAATACTATTTAGAATCATTTGAAGATTCATCAAACAACTGCGGTACAGTTGATAATGTCATCCCTGCATCTAGTGTCCACAACTCCGACGTTGGCAGTAGATGAAGTGCAACCGAGTGGAAAGTTGACGATGGCCTACCGATGTCCACCCATTGCCACGGCTCACAAGTAAATGATGCAATGCTGGTCATACGCTGTTCACCAAAACCTCGAACTTGAATCACGTGAATTGTTTGCGACGCCATTAACAATTGCCACTGTCATGAGCTGGCAGATGCTACTACTCATTGTCAGAAACAACCCATCGGAAAATAACTGATAAACTCATCCACTAAATCAGTACTGAGAAATTTTAGCTTTAGCTATATTAATTCTTTTCAAAAATCCATTAATAATAGAGGAAATGAATATTTAGCCACTTGGCGCCCGGGCATTTCAACTGTGATGTAGATGAATGTCCAGAAAATATGTTGTTTATTGAAGAAGAGGATATGATTTTAATGAAAATATTAAGCTATACAGAATCTTACATTTTGACACAGACAGAAAAAAATCTGGAGATTATGACAGTCTACAATAGCAAGGACACTGAAGAAAGACCAATGAAAATCACTTTGCACTCCCACGGCACCAATACAGGCTATAAGTTCATTTCTCCAAGAATGTACTGCCATATTAGCCACAGAAGTGTGGCTTAATTACACGACTGAGGTAAGACCCAACCTGTCTTGGGTAACTTTTCAAAAGGGCCGAGTAAGATGAAAACATTGTTAACTAGTTAACCCCTTGATCGTTGACCTAATGTGGGATACATAAAAGTACAGAAGAATGGCCCTGTTTTCATCTACGCATTTTAGGTGACTTCTGCTTTGTTGAAAATGCACATTTGGCGATTAGTAGAGACTGCTTTTCTTCGATAATTCCCATAGAGTCGATTTGGATGTAAAACTAGAAAAATTAACACTTCAACTGTCAGTACACTTGTTGGCGAGCCGTAGTTCATTTCAGAAGCGGCACTTTCCAATGCCCCTAACAGAGGTGCATTGACTGAAATGGGCTAGGATTGAAGTATATTTATCTTCCACTGCAAACGAGTGTTAGTTTTTGCAAGTATAAAGTTTAGAGGTTACACCTTTCCATGTCCACTTGCGAAGGAGGATCCGCATTCTTCTGTAGCAGCATCTGATAAATTCATTGTAAGTGAGCAGTGAGCAACGGCTCAGGCGTAAAGGTAATCTGAAGCTCAGCATTTTGCAGAGCTTTTTTATTTTATCTTGAAACATCATCAGCATTCCTAGGTGTCACTCCAAAGCAATTTAGTTAGTAACTTAAGGTAGAATCTGTTTTACTAAATCATGCAAGAGAGTATAATAGGAAGGCGATTTTGATTGAGAGGTAGATTTTTAACTTCATCACCTTTGGGATTTTCGCGTTTGGTACAGATGGTAACAAATAAGAATCTGGAAGCGGCTAAGACCATAGGGATAGACATCATTTCAACATTCAAGCACGAAGCCTTAATTCTACCTCCAGTCCTTCTCACCTCATCCCCTAAATCGGGTTTTAATGTTTAGATTGCATTCCATTAATACCGGAGTCAGCATGAATGAACTCATTTTTAATGGGACTAACACCCCGAAATAGGTGAATTTGTGCATGCACAAATGAGGGAAAGACTTATTTCATTTTCTTATTTAAACTACAAATCACTATGGGGGAAATCCAAATATTTGCTCTACTGAAAAAAGAGATGGCGTTAGGTCAGTAATGAGGACTTCCTTAAAGAAGTAAACATTACAATCATTTAAAAGTATGCATTTTGTATAAAAAGCATTTTTAATAATGTTTACTAGATTTCGCCGAAGATGAAGTACGTTGAAACATTGCATCTTCTGTAACAAATAATGAAAACTCCAAAAAAAGCTATCCATCGGTGATAGGGGTGAATAGTGTGGCGCCCCTGAGACTTCACTGCAGACAAAATGGGGCATAGTACTGGAGCAGAATATGTATTGCCGAGGTACAAAGGGGCTCGGGGCTACTGAAATAGCCAAGAGGCTAGGCGACCGGTAAGGTTACAATGGTGCTGTCCTAAGTGTTCTATTACCAAAACCGAGAGTTAACTAAACAATTAAGGCATAACAATTAGAAAATTTGATTTACACAAGAAACGAAATGGTGAATTTTTTCTGCTACTGCAAGTTCTCTGTAACTTTAGGGGTTCGTTTTATAACTTTTCTCAAAATAATTACCATCAATACGTTCCAATAGGAATGAGATGTTTCGTATGCTGAAAATTCTGGAAAATAAATAGAAATTATCGTGTAATTCGCCCTGAGTTTGAGTAGCAGGGCAGATAATTGTCTTTTATTATGAATACAAATTATAGCAAATTTTGTCTGCTTCCGTACCCCAAAAAAAGCCGTTCAGAACATGAATTTGAGTGGCGCAAATACAGTCGCCAATATTTCACCTCTCCAATTAAGAATGCGAATGGTTAACTTACTATGCTAAGTGGAAGCGACTCTATGAACTTTTTGTGGAGTTTACAGAGAGCCGGCGCTAATGCGCACAGATGGTAGGCTGAGACAGCCCGAGGGAGGGTGGAAAGCCTTTGGTAGAATATACCGCGACGGGATGTATTAAGATTAATTTGCCTTTGGCTTTTGGCAATTATAAATGTCCGTACAAGTACTTGTATTTAATGCTTTTGTTAATTTATGGTAGCTCAACCAAAAAAGCCTAACACTTGCAAAGTCAATCAAGATTAGACAAATTCATATTTTTTTCTAGACAATTTCCCATGTTAGCGCGAGGATTGAATAAGCATGTTCTGCATTTCAGCAACATGCTACAAAAATTTGCTTCCACATGGAGTAGAAAGCACTCACTGATTTCTCGAAAACCAAGCTCATTTTCTATAATTAACCGGTGGGTCATTTGAAGGAACTTGCAGTGCATGGGAAAGGACCTTGATGAATGGCCTGATAAATGCGTTGATAAGAGCTTTAACATGCCGCGAGGCCAGTCAGAGCTACACAATCAGTAGTACCAATAAATGATATCTCAAATACGGGTATGGTAGTGCAATCATCCATCTGATTGCCAGCGAATGAGAAAATGATGATAATAACGAATGAACTAATATGCAGAGTGAAATCAAGGCAGACAAATATAGCCGTCTCTGTAAAGTGTGAACGAAGTCATACAACTCCCGAGAGCAGTTTTTATCTCTGCAATTTATGGATTATCCAAACGAATCGCATAATTTTACGAGAAACACCTGGGAAGTTTGCGAAGTCATTTCCAGGGAGAAGAGTGGTTTTGAATCTTAACAGAGCAGAAAATTTTATACAATTGAATATTTCATTCAAGTAAGTGCAATTGTGCTGCATAAATCCCTTCCTTGGAGCGTTCTTTTCAGCGCTTCCCCTGGTCACCCTCCATCTTTGACTATCAGGTGGTAGTTGGGTGAATTGCAAAACCCGCGAGATGGGAAGGGAAATTATTCGTCTGTTTTCAATCAGCACAAGAAGCCTTTCAATTTTAACAATACCTACAATTATGATTTGTCTTGCAAAGATTAAACTGTTTCGTTTTGCTTAGAGCTGATAAAATGTTACGCAGCGAGTAAATTTAAGTTCCAATTAGGTTTTGTAGCTACCTTTTCTTGGAATTCTTACCTTTTATTCATTCCTTCTTTTCACTTCGATCCCATTTTAATGCTCTCTACCTACTTGTATGGGTTACTTTTCTCTGTACTAATAAGCAACCAAATTAATACCTGGTATCGTGCTGCCTTTTGTTTTGTAAATCTTTTCCACACACGGGTCTAGTTCAACGTCATGAAGAGGCAAATTACGCAATAATATCTGTTTGGTTCTGAGCACATTTGTAACCAAACAATTAGCAGCCACTTTTCAAAATGATCAAAAGGTGCTTTATTGTGGAGTAAATATTATCCCAACCAAATGTTAAAAGCAAAGACAGTGAGGTAATGGCTCACAAAGAAGTGCTTCCCAAGCGGACATTTTTGAAACTCGTACCAGTAGGAAGGTAACTCAACAGAGAATAATGAAAACAGGGGCCTTATCGGAGTTTCGCCTTCTACTTTGGTGTGCTCCGAGGGAGTGTATCATCAGAACGCTGTGGAGTTTGAAACCTTAAAAGTTCATTCTTAAAAACGATAGTGAGAAACCGGATACCACAACTGTTCCATTTGAAATATGCGTTCTAGCATCTCTCGTCATGTTCAATGGATTCTGATATTCCCTTTACGGTATTTGCTAGAAGCTACAGTTTTTTTTGTCAAGAGACCACGGCTTCAAGATCACAAAAATACATGCTGCATCGTGATCCTCTTGTATCCTGAGTGGTGTGCCTAGATGCATGGAGCTAGTAAATTTGATAACAAAATCGAAAAAAGTGGAGAAACAATTACAGTAATTTTGTTCTAATTAGTAGTGAGTATTTGTCACTCATCGCCGCCTCAAATTCCCATCTGGTCGCTTTGTACTGACGTCCTCTCATTTCATACATCCAATGATGTGACGATAAAGGGCAAATTTTTAATTAAAGGCTACAAAGTTGAATTTCCTTCACTCGATTTCTTCAGAATAGATAAAATGCCGCTGGTTTATGTAACCTTTGCTGTTAGGATCGGTGCAGCATTACAACAAAATCCGTGCTACTTCCCTGACATCACAGCTATCCAACCTGACAGCTAACACATTTTTATTCGTTGGCGCGTCACTGATGGTGCAATGAATAAACATTTTTTGGGTTTATACAACATATTTACCAAATAGTGCTGTGTGGCTATACTAGTATTAGCATTAGCAAATTAGTAACCCTTGCTTATAACCACAAGGACAGGATGCAAAGTCTAATTGGGGAACCACTTTTGTTCAATTTTTGTTGTTCCCATGATACAGATTTTACGGGCAAATGTAAAATTACAAACAAACGGGTAGTAAATCCTGCAGGGAAGAAGTAGTAACATCCATTTTAGAGAGAGAGCGCCGTCTCTCGACTCAAGAACGGAAGCCATGGGAGTGGTATGAGTGGCACCTATTAATCAGATCAACAAGGATTTAAATTGAAGCGAGGAATGAGGAGGTATGAACATGGACAAAAGTAGCTACCGCTGGTTCAAAGCTACCACTTCATTTTCTTCTAAGTAAAGGTTGCATGTAGTTGGCACTCAATACACCGAGCTTAGAATTGGTTCAAGGCAGGATCTCATAGTTATACCTTAAAAACATATCTCAAACTTGTTTAAAAAACCTAGCATTACTGCTTTGTTAACAGATATATTAATTGATTTCAAGATAAAACGGTTTTAACTAAAGCCATTTATATTCGTCGTAAGTTATTCTGCGTTAGATTTTGCTGTCTCACAGTACTAAATTGTCAAACAAAACGTTGGCATTATTGGTGGCATGAGGAGGTATCAAAATTTTATAAGTATTTTGACTCCAAGCACGCACCAACTAGTTTGAATAATGTGTTAATGCCTCAATAGTTAGTTCTATCGTCTAACGTGTGTTCTTTCTGTGTTAAATCTGCACATAAGTCCCAGACATGGCCGAAGAATTCCACTTTTCTATAAAAAGATTGGGCAATCGTAGGGTAAAAGCGTTACCTAGTTTGCTTAATCGTTATTTCTCAACAATGAAAATTTTACGTGTACGTGTCTGAAAACATGAAAGCATGCGCTTTAAAGAGCGCTAGGCCAGCAGCCCAAGTTCTACATAAAATAATTCCTAATTTGAAGCATAGGGATGAAGGGAGTCTTATTACCCATGTAAAATGAGAGTAGATCACTCTAATGGGAAAATCTAACATTAGTTATATAGTGAAATGGATATGCGATATATATCCTTTTTAATTAATTTAAGTACAAGGAATGTAGTGAAAGGTAAAGTGGACTACGATTATGCAGAAACGTTTTGATGATCAAGCGAAAGTCTGGTCATTGTTTAAACCTGGGAGAAAGAAAATTCAGCTAGCCTTTAGGGACGGCGTAGGCACATAGTGCACTGACTGGGAGCAGAACAAATACTTGTAAAGTATGAAGAAATGGAAATTCGCTGAAGGCAAAAACCATACCTCATTTAGAATAAGGATCGTAAAACAGCACAATTTTAAAATGAGTATCGGCAGAACTTCAACCATTACCCGAATAGATACACCATTCTGCCTTAGTGTACTCTTCGCAACCCCTTGAGCGAGTGCGAAAACTGAAATGATTGATTCGGCGGTATTGTGGGTTACAAGCTGTCTCCAATGCGCATATTTATCCAGGAAAGGGAGCATTTCAAAAACATGAATCAGAAAGCTGAGTTGTCAGCTAGCGGGATGTGACCAGCGTGACTGTCGTTATTAGTAAACTTTCCAGATTGGATTGGAGACGTCCCAGCTCTAAGCATCAGAATAAAAATCGCTGCCATCAAATTATCATTTTTAACTCGATTGCGCATTCACAGAGTCGATTTAAATCAAGTAACTCATGATTTTAGTTGCTATTGAGCTTTTATTATTTCACGTGATTTGCGATAGACACTTTTGCATCAAAAAACAAAAACAACTGCTTAAGATGACCTAACATTACTTATTTGACTTATATTCACTTCTAAAACATCGATGCGAAACAACAGTAGGAATAAAGGCGATCAAGATGGTAAGCTGGAGATCTCTAGAACTCTTCATTACTGACGTCGATTATGCAAAATTCGGCTGTCGAACCAAAAAATCGCTCATTTTCTAACACCTCTGACAGAAAATTTTTTTTCAAATTATCTTTCTGACTGCGAATTTTACTGCAGTTTTTGTTTGGCAGGAATGGGAGGGGGTGATGCGCAATAATCGCACAGATTTTTGTTTCATCAATCCGAACTCAAATGTCCACAACATTCACCTCCATCATTCCCTGTAAAGAATATCACTGTCACACGGCCGTGTATTAAAGGTGAATTTCCAATGAAAAAAAGATTAGTTGCGTAAGTGAGAATTTGATTCATTCTCACAAGCGAAAGTTTATTGCAAATACCTTCATTGTTTCCACGAAAGCCAAGTCATTATATTTAATAAGGAATGGAAACTTGCCACTTTATCCAGACCATTAACTCTTTATGACCTCGAGACTAATCACATATAATAGTCAAAAGCCTTATAAGAAATGTATTATCCACCGTTCAAAACTCATTCTCAAAATTTTCAAGGTGATGAATGGTTATTCCGCTGTTACCATTTATAGTAGCCCGAAGCAGTGCACATAAATGCTGCCTGCCCATCACATAGGCGGTAAATTAAGAAGCAAAATGGCAAACTGCTTACCTATTTAAGCATTCTGCCTCTCCATACTTATCACTCAGATAAATTCGGTGTCCTGCAAGTAGCGCTTAATGGCTGAGGCTCTTCAAGCTTCACAGATTGGCGCTTTGTTTATCGACGGATTGAATATCACACAAAAACTCACACTTCTGAATTTTTTATCTGGCACCTAGGCTCCAATGTCATCTTTTCAAGTACCTAATCCTGAATCAAGGCATAAATCAAGTGGGCAACATGCGCTAAGTAGCTGTATAATAAACTTGCCAGTCTGTACTTCCAAGATATTGCCAAATCTGCTGCACAGCCTCAACGCCCGCTACTTAAACATTTCGCAATAGCTGTTAGCGATGCAAGGCAGTAGTTCTTGTCACTCATTGTCGAGCTATAAAAATCTTCGAAACGTAAAACGTCCACCTAATAATAAGTTTTGCACAGGGTAGAGATGTACAGGGGAGATCTCAGCCCTAGTTGTTTTGCCTTTAGCTGGAACTTCATAGTGAACTACTTCGTCTGCAATACCCCACACAAAGTAGGCATAGCTGTCTGGGGAGGATAAGGCAGCCTAAAAGTATGTAAGGTAGAACTTTGTTTAAGAATTGCGAATGAGACGCTCGTTGGCTTAACGCTGCCATGCCAAAGGCATTTCCCAACCCGAGTTAGTTATATAGCAATATAAAGCAGAGCATTTTATAACCCGAAAAAAGTAAAGAACAAAGTGATAGCCTCTAAAGCCTGGTATTGCCTATTGCTAATGGATGTGGAACGCATTCGTTCTCTCAATTCCAATCGTAAGTCATTACACCAAACAATGACGACAGCACAAACTTCTTCCCTCCTGGTTGGCACATGATAGTGTTTATTCCTGTTTAGAAGTTAGGGAAAAAACCCATTCTAAAAACAAATATTACATACGGAGAGCTTGATATTCATGAAATTTTTAAATGCCTCCGTCAAAACCAGACTTGAGACGCCTTAATGGGCAAATTCGTTATTTACGGTCTTTCGACTGTAAAACGATTGGACTAAGAAAGAGAAGCCTTTAGTTCTCTACTATCTAGGCTCTTCACAGGTAAGGACCTTTGCCTCCGCATATGTTTCCATTTTAATTCAGTGGGTTAAATTCCCAGGTTTACGCAATATTTAAACATTCCACTTTAACGTTTGCATTAACATTGTTAGAGATGGTAAAACCTTAGCTAAATGAAGGGGAATGCATCACGTGAAATGTTTTGAAGCATAAAGGGCTGAACTTTCTAGTTTTTACCTTATCCTCGTTTGCATTACCTATCAAAGGGCAACTTTAATGGGTTTCTGTCTCGCATTGCGCAAACGGCAGGAGGAATCTACGTCCTGAGAAAAAACCACGTACGTGGATTGTAAGTGCAATCATTCTTTCTTTTAAAGGAATCGTTTTGTTTGAACAGCCCTGTCTGATGGTGTGGCGCTCAACAGAGGGCACTAAATCAGAATGCCTATGCCTAATCATTATGTTGTAAAGGCAAAATGCCTTGTAACTTGCTTACACGGTGCAAAATTATCCAGAGTTGATATTTTAGTTGTAGTATTTTTCCGACTTCCAATTGCACTTGGAAGAGTCGAGTTTGCGTGCTATTTACGTGACATCTTACCATCATTTAAGGTAGACGGTAATGCGCATTCAAAATCGACGTACAATTAACTCCCTATCCTCGAACACTTTCTTGGGGCATGACTTACAATCATTATGGAAGTTTGTTTCGCATGAATGCATTGCTAAAAACAGACTTTATCGTGCATCGTACTGTAAAGGCCAATGGCTAATAACATTTTACTTATGAATGCACCAAGTTCAAAAAGCCCTTTAAAGGTAGGCAGGACGGTCTTATTCTCGGATAAATACTTATTCTGCAGCAGTACCAGATACCGGAGCGAAATTTTTGACGCGAAATGCCGTCAGTATGGCAAAACCGTCGTAGCCCTGAATCGCCAGATGACTGACCAATGCGGTGGCGCTAATGCGATTTCTAGTCTTCTGCTGCAGGTGAACAAGGCTTTGAAATTTTCTGGTATGCCACAGATCCCAACCATGCGACATGAACATTCTTTGCTCATACTAATGCTGTTAGAGTCATGAAGGATGAGGTACTTGTTTTAACTTTAAATCAAGTCATTTGAAATAGATGGCTGCATACTATTACACACAGTCATTAAGAAGGTTCGTTTAGAATGCTGGATATTTTTGTCAAACAATTTATCGCAAGCAGAGTGCTTCACTAATAACTTTTGACTTGTCCCACCTTATCACATTTCGAAATGAAGGCATAACAAAAATGACAATGACCAAGTTGAATTCAATCTAAAAACAGAAAATGTTGTACGAGTTTTAACTGATAAGGTAACCAAAAATATGATCAAATATAAATGTCAATCGAGAACCCTTATAGCAAACAAAGATTACCCTTGCACAATCTTGATTTTGATCATTGAGCCTCAAAAACTAAATTCATACCGTAGGTCCCAAGGCATACCTTGTGACTGTAAATCGGTTGTTTAATTTTGCTGGCAATTTCCATTATATTAAGAAACGGAAAATTCTTCATTAACAGCCATTTAAAGGAGAATGCGAACCTACAGATTGGATTATGCATTTACCTAGCCCGCCTATGCTGGTTCTGCATCTACATCTGCGTCAACTTCTGCATCACCCGTCCTAGTCCTACTTCTTCTCCTTTTTTGCAATAAAACAGGCGAATACAATTTTTATCAACATTTCGAATGATCCATTAATAACTTGCTCACGATCTAGGCGTTTGGTTATGCGCTTTATAATCATACCGAACCATAAATTCTTCACCTGATCCTTCTCAGCTTTGGTTTTCCGAACGGATCAACACAAGCGACATCCTTTGGAGAGCTATAAAACGAAAACCTGAGCATAATTAGACATAATACCAAATCCTCCTAGGATAAGTTACTTCAAATTGTTTTCAAATCATTAATCCCCAAATAAAGTCAGACACCCTTTTCAACCGCTATCAAGTTGAATTCCTCCCTTTTGTTTACATGATCACATATTTTTAGAAGACGAGAATCCATTTCGACTGGCATTAAGTTTACTGCAGGGTAACACATGTCCCAATGCACCACGGAAAAAGTATTTTGCTTACACCTCCAAATGTTGAATAGTAGCTACTTAGGAATTTCCCTAAGAAGACAAAGTAATGTACTGTTCACCGAAACAACATGTTCCCATACCTGTGCAAAACTTTTAAACTAGAACCTAATGAACGAAAACATTCATATTTGCCACACGTGAGGTAGCACGATCTCAAAACTTATTTTTGCCAGTCAAACGTAGTCAAAAATTCCTTTAAAAGTGCTTTTATGGAAAAAAACCAAGTTACCATGCATTAGGCACGTGTCGAATTTTCCGCATACCATCCATTGTGCCATTCAGAGGGAAGATTTCCGAAAACCAGCACTCACTAATGTGCCAGATGGAGTAGCACAATGCGTTTTCGTTGTTATACCACCCATACACGCTTGAAATCAAATCCAGGAATGCCACGCAACTAAAATTGGTTATATAGAAATTCTCAATTTTATTAACGTTCATACATCCATAAACAATGACGGATTTGGACAACTATCTTCCTCTTTCTTGCTTATCTGTCCCCATAATGAGCTGATCATGCTAAAAGTGAAGGATGGAAGCCATCCCCTTCCACTACCAATTGGAATACAAAATAATACACAATCCGAGTTTTCTTTTGAGGAACACGAAAGTATCCAAGTCGCGAAATGAACGTCTGAAGTATACGACGTATATAAAATATCCATGGGTATAACTTACCTGGCCCCATCACATTTACTAAACGCAAAATTCGAAGCTTTTATGCTACTTCGGCAATGCGTATTTTAATGCACCCAAGCGTAGCAAAGGCAAATATTTTGTCCGAAAATCCAACTTGGAACGAAACACTCTGATTGTCCACCTAGAAATGCTTCGTTGTAAATCTGTTATCCACTTCCCTTTAACGAGAAATTGAATCCTCCCTTTCTGACAGCGATGTAGTGCGAATTGGCTTGATCGCATCCGCCCATGATCTTCTTTGGTGCTATATTTAACATGCTTTTTCTTTTAACCGTACCTGGAAAGATTCTATGCACTATTAAAACAATTTTTGAGAGTGTAATGTTCTAATTTGCGCAAAAGCAATCGTAGCATAGCAAAACATTATAATGCTTTAGTGATCGCAGCACAAGACCCTTTGTCCTGTGTTGAAAACCTAGTGGATAAATGGACGTTCCACTGTCTAAATGCTGACTCAAGCACTAGACGATACTCAAAAATAATTTGCTGACGAATATCATTTATCATTTCCACAGAGTTGATAGCTCGCAACTTTGCCTGCACCACTTCCCATACAGCGTGATTGTCATCAAGCATGTGCTACATTAAACACACAACAGTTTAAGCCCTAACAAGTAAATATACATTTTAAAATAGTCGATTTTGATCTTGGAGCGCATGCTCTGAAAAGAATAATCATAGATCAGTCTGTAAACTGCATCATAATTTTATGGGTGGAAGACATGAAATGCTAAACTTGAAAACTGTCACAGATTATTCAATATGCTTGATAGATGTTTATAAAGAGTAATGTTGTAAGCATCCTCTATAGTGCACAATTTGATTGTTTAAACTTATCTTTAAGTAAATCAGATCCTGGTCCCGGATTGCATAATTTACATGCACGTTTATTACTCAATGTATTCCTATACAGACGTTTACGACAAGCCAATAAAGTCATTTCCATTGTAGAAGGCTCTGCCAAGCAAGGTTAGTGCCTACTACAGCAGTTTTAGCAGTGGCTGCATCAGCAATATCGGGGACGAGTCTAAATATACGTGTCAATAACAGGAGGCTCCCAAGCCTTGCCCGTCTGACTGAGATTCCTCGCCGTTATCTCGGCCACATCCTCGCCAGGGTTCTCCACAGTCCATCGCTCAAATGCAGAAACAAATTTCCCCAGTGTAAGGTGGACCAGGGCCAGTAAGAAACCGATCACCTGGACAAAGTAGCCCAAGGAAGACCATAGAACGCACGTATCTTCCAGCGAGAGCACAATCCACCCTGCGGCAAGATAGTCAAGAGAGCGCATTCGAAAGAACCATCTGAGGAAAGTTAACCCTCCAGGGGGCAGCGAAAACCCGCAGAAAGCCGTCGCGGTAGCCATTCCGTCCTCCGCCATCGAAATCAGTGGCAGTGTTGAGTGTGCCATGAAGTAGACCGGTTGAACACCATACCAAAGGGAATTAACGAGGAGGGTAGCGACTGAGCGGATGAACCACGGGCCAAAGCACCTGCGGTAGATGTACCTATCCATCCAGTAGTAGAGTGTTTGGTTCCAGGCTCTGAAACTCTCACGCATGGTTGGACTGAACTCACACTTCCAAGCACTGACAGCTTGTACTGTCGCGTAGTTGTAAAAGTGTGAACGTGACTCAATTACTACAGGATCGTCGTCGCTGATGTTTGAGTTTATGTCGTCCACGAGAAAATGATAGTCTTCATTTATGTGCTGAATGCCGGCCTTTTCTTTGGGATCAATTTGTGACATCCACCTACAACAGTGAAACAGCCAAATATAGATGCATTTCTCCACTATTTGCTTAGGAGAGAAAGGCACTTTAAAAAGTTTCTACCGCGGTTTGATTTTCGGCAGCAACGTGTAAACAAAACCTAATGAAAAGTACAGTCTTGATCCAAAGTAAAATTTCTATCAGTATGCACACACTGCAGACGCTCAGACACAAAGATATATCCAAAGTTAGTACTCTATGTATGCAATTCTTCGGGTAGTGGGCGTTTTAGTAAACATGGATTTAAACTAATCTTGCCACGGTGCACAAGTCATGTTTGTACTAAATTAATCATTTGATGCAAAGCATCATACGAGATGCACGATGTAGGTAATGCCACTTGGACATTTCACGATGCAAAAAAATCTGTGTACGAGTACTAGATCTATTAAGGGCAAGGAGAGGCAAAATTGGAACAAGGATTCTAAGATTCTTTCGCCCCACTTAAGATACTGACATTTGCGATAAAGATTTTTGTGCGAATAATCTACAACTCAAGCCTATCTGCTGGGAGATAGTCCTCTATTGCTTCTTTATTGCCTGTAATAAAGCGGATTCTCTTAGTCCCACATATAAATGTCAAGGCCAACCATGTCCGTGGCCTATTTGAGGTCAAAACATCCCATTTAAAATTTTCCTTCATTTTGACATCACTTCGCCTCTTCAGTCCCCAAGTGTGTTTGTTTTGGTCAGTCCAAAAGTCTGCAATAGTTCCCGAAATATGTGTTACGGCGCAACGGTCGTGTAGTTATGCAAATGCATAAACGGCATTGCCCGGGGAAAAATCACTTCAAATTCTTCAAAGGCTTCCATCAGAACACCCGTATGCGCATTTGTTTCTCTTTTTCAAAGTGAGTTGAAAATGGGAAAGTTATCCAACCAAATTTGAACTTCACCGTGTCACAAGCTTCATTTTTTCCTTTTATCTGCCTTGCCAATGTGATTGCAAGAGCCTTATCATTCTCTTACGACCTAGTTATTACTGAGTTATCACTTTTGCAAAATAGCACTTCCCAGATCCGTTGCATTTTCAGTTTTATGATAAGAAGTTTTGAGATCGATCGGGATAAAAGGACAATGATGAGGAGGAGATTACCCACCTGTCGAGAGCCACAAGATCAGTTGGTCCCTCACCAACAGCGGGACGAGAAATGGCTGGATAGGCACCCAGCCCTGCACTCATGCAGACGCATTCGCCCATGATCCAAGCAAAGTAGAGTCGCGTGCGGTAAACAAAGAAGAGAGCGCCCAAATACACTAGACGGCTGACCAGACTTCCCTCCTGAAACTCGGGATCTCGTAGATCCTGTTAAGTAGCCACTTAGAGCATCAGATACCGCATTACTAAAGGCATATAAAGTCGCATGAACTCACAGTCCCAGTGAAGAAGTGCGTGTGAAGTGGTGGTGTTAGGTATCTCATCCACAATTTGTATGACTTGTCTAACAGAGAGTGGTATTGCAAAATGACGTTGTCGCTGATTTGATTTGCAGTCTTCCTTGCCACAGTTTACCAATTTTCAGTCGAAATTCATTTGCTGCATTATACGCTGCTAAAGTTCCACTTTAAAAGCCATTACAATGGTGCCTTATTGTTAAAAGTCAGTGCATTCATGATTTAGTTTGACTACTTGTTCTCATTTGTATTTGTGCCTCTGAAAGATTAAATTTATCCAATGTTTTAATATTACCAACATTTTACAATCTTAAAACAAAAACTTTAAAATATGCTTTAAAGTACTGAGGGTACACTAGACAATTAAGCGTTTTTAACAGATATTTCACTTTCGATTTGCGTAAGGTGGTAATTAAGCACCATACTAATGGGCTAAAATCCCATTAACTATATGCTGAATTTCACGTATATCCAGAGCACCACTTTTAAAAAAAATTGCGAGAGATTATTTTTGCCCCATTGCATTTGGTTTTGATACCGCGAGCGCATTGAAAATAATGCGGAAAATTTTAAATTTGCATGTAGATATTTGTTATTTGTGGCAACTGCCAATGTCATTACACATGCTAAAAAACCTTAATTTTCTTAAGCAAACTGATTACGCTCTATTCATTTGTTCTATGGTAATCTCTGAAGTTATAAACATCACGACTCTGCACGAGTTAGGCAGTCTTTTGTAAACCGGTTTTGGTAAAAGATATTTTGTTTAAACCAAACCAAAATGTTCACTTGATTATTAGTCTTTATCGGAAGCTGGTGGTGATAGCAGACATGAAGGGCATAAGTTACTCCTTCGTTATGATACAGATAAACATTCAAATTAAAGTGCAAAAACTACTTTAAAACTCAAGTTTTGAGAAGAATTAGCTCTTGCTTTGTGCATTTACACATTTTTCGAAAAATGCCCACAGTGGATGCAAACGTGAAAGTTGAAAAACGTTTGTCGAACTACATGTATGCACA